TTTTCTAAGAGAAAATGTAAATAAAGGATTTCTAGATCAATGCCTAGACTCGTTACTACACTAGAGTGGGAGTGAGTAGGTTTGCACAAGAGCCAGGAAGCCTGGGAGGGACGGAGGGACCCCGGGGTGTAGGGGACCCCCACGGAGCACAGGAGGGGAGAAGTGCCCAGCCTGCTGGCCCTTCCTACAGAACACCTGGGTGTGCTGTGGGGTCGGCCTGTGGTGTTCATTTCATCCAAATTCCCGTGGCAGGCAGGAGATGCCGGGTGCCGGAAACCATGAGGAGGTGGGTGCTATAGCAGACCCAGCGGTTCTCGTGATGGAGTGCAGGGAGCTGGGGCTTGGTGCCAGGCGCAGAGCAGGTCCTGACAGTGGAGGGAGTCTTTTTCAGAAAGCAGAAGTTTCTGTAGTTCCAGACACTACGATCCGCACCTGCCCTACCGCGAGGTTAAGGGAGCAGGATGCTGACTGGGCTTCTCTTCTTGCATGCAGCCACCATCCCGGGGACACCTGGGACAGTGAAGGGGGCTTGCAGTGAGGACGGCAAGCCCTGGGACCCAGGCCTGGTCTGACCACCCACTGGCCAAGGGCATGTCCCGCCCCCTCCCCAGGATTCATGGTGGAAGGTGATCTCAATTTGTAAGGTGGTTGTTTTCAAAAGCAGTGTGCGGAAAAAGACAGGCGCCCCTCCAGATCACCTGGGGCAGCCCGAGGTCAGAGCCTATCCCAGAGGAGGTCTGGGACCCACGCGACTCCACGGCTCACAATGGCCTTGGTGGAAGTTTCTTAGCAAATGGAGCCAGGTTTTGGGAAACTCATCTCAGCCTCAGCCTCAGCCCCAGCCCCACAGGACCCAGTGGAGCATCACAGTCTGGTGGAAAGAAAGAGGAAGGTAATAGGCCACAGGGCTCTTTGGGGGTTTCTTCCAAGTGAGCCACTGGGGCTGGAGTCCGGGAGACCAGGGGGCCTGGTTTCAGATCACAGCTCGGGCTCCAGTTTTCGCACCTACACCTAAAGGCAGCGGATCCCAGGGTCGGGGTGTGCATCTAAGGAGATTCACATATGTGGGGCACTGCCTGACACAGGAGGAGATTTGGGTATTGTCATCCTTAGCCCCGTCTCCTGGTCTGCCCTCTTACCTCACAGCCTCTATTCCCCCTTGGGAGCAGTGGGGGTGGGGTCTGGGACCGAAGGCTCCCCAGCCGGCCCCTGCAGTCCCTACATCAAAGGTGGGGCGGCTGGAGGGGTGAGGCCCGCCCAGGTTATGGGGTGGGGTCTCTCCACCAATCGGGAGGCTTCCCTCAGCCCAGCCCCTGTGGGCCAGTCCTTCCTGTCGCCAGTGCCCAGCAGCCCTGGCTGGCACTTAAACTTCTGGGGATCAGAGGGCAGGCCCCCTCAGGAGGTCCCGCTGGGGGAGGGCCCAGCCTCACGGGGTCCCTGGGAGAGAACTGGCCTCCTGGGAGAAGAGTCAGCAGGGCTCCTAGCCTCTGCGCCTGGCACTGGGCAAAGTGTTTATGCGCATTATCTCATTTGGGCCTCAACAGTCCCAGGAGATAAGGATTGTTTTCGTCTCAGTTTTGCAGATAAGGAAACTGAGGCTCAGGGAGGTTAAGTCAGTAGAGCTAGAAGGAGATGCGGGCTGTAAAGCCTGTGCAGAAGGGAAGCCATCTGTGGCAGGGTCCGTGGCATCCCCACGTTATGTGCTCCCACCACCTCACGGCGTACGAGGCTGGCATTCAGAACGCTCTCAGTGGCTGTAGAAAAATCAGTTCCTCGGGAACGCCATCAGGGCTCACACAGCCAGACACCTGCCTGCAGAACCCTGCACAAGGTCACACACAGAGCAGGGGCCGACTAGAACTCAGGCTGTCCTTGCCTGCGGGGCACCCTGCGGTGGGGCCAGCAGGGAAGGCGGCCCCTGGGGAGGGGCAAGAAGCAGCGGGGTGGGGGGGTATGTCTCCCACCTCCCCCCACCCAAGAGGCTCTTCAGGAGGCATGTCCCCTACAGGCATTGAAAGAATGTCCAGTCTCTTGACTCCAGCCGCAGTCAGGAGCAGCAAGCCCAGGGTGGAGCCAGGGGCTACTGCTCCTGAGAGGCAGGCCTGAGCCTTCCCTCGAAGAGGCTGAGGACAGGGGTGGGAAGGTCGCTGAAGCCCCCTGGGCCCTGCCCCTGGGTCCAGCCGCATCTCAGCAACTCTAGCTGGTGGCCTCTCGCCTCTGCGTTTGCATCTCCTGGAAGAGGTACCTCTTGCAGTGAGCTGGGAACAGGCTACCAAATTCCAGAAGATGCCCAGCTCTGGCTGCTGCTGGAGAAAGCCAGTACTCTCTCAGGCTCAGGCTTTGGAGCTGGAGGAGCATGGCCATCAGTGACCGGACCAGGGCATATCTCTCTCTGTCCCTATAAGGACTAACCCCAGATCTGTGGGAGCCAAAGGAAAGAGGGCAGCTCTTTAGCTCTGCTTTTGGTGAAGTTGCTGCGAGACTGTGGAACCAAGACCTCGGGCCTTCTAGGGAAGGAGAGAGCACCGAACAGGGAGTCAGGGGCCTGACATCCCTACCTAGCTGGGGTGCTAGGGAAAGTTGCTCCTCTACCCAGGCTGGTTTCCCCAGCTATAAAATGAAAGGGTGAAGAATAACCATCGAACCCAAACCTGGTTGAGCCCCCAGAATCCCTGGGAAGGACATTCTTAAAGCCCCGGGTTCCTAAGCCCCAGCTCAAGGCACTGGATCATGCCCTCAGGGTGGGACCCTAGGACCAGATGCCTCAACACGCAGTCAGGTTAGGGAACCGCTGGACTGCGTCGTCTCTCAGGCCATTCAGCAATTACTACGTGCCAAGCCTAAGGACCCTAAGGAATAGATAGGGTCTATCATGGTCTCCTTTTGACAGCTGAGAAAATTGAGGCTCAGGGAGGTTTCTTAGTTTGCCCACAGCCATACAGTGGGTAAGAGCTGAATGAAATGTGCACCCAGGTCAGCAGCGCCCTGTATCCATCTCCTAGCTGTTCATGACCTCGTGAGAGGTTTTCTCATCCTTCCAGGTGTGGCTGGCAGCCCCCTAAGGACACAAGACCCCAGGGTAAGAACCAGAACCCTAGAAGGTTAGGGGAAGGAGCCACCTCAGTGGTCGCCTAAACCCATTCCCCTTTTAGGAGACGGGGAAACTGAGGCACAGAGAGGGAGTGACTTGTCTGACGTCATCAGGCACATGGGCAGGTCATGGGTCACCGTGCAGGGTGAGATGAGTGGCCCTGCATGTGGCTGAGAGCTTGAGCAATTTGTGCTCTGGTCTTCCACCCTCCCCTGCTCTTGCCCTGCACTGTTAACAGCAGCCTCCCTGCCCGGCTCCATTTCTGCCAAGCACCCAAAGGGACCAGATGTGCCTGTGACAGACTCATCTCCCTTTCCCTACCTTCAATGCCTCCCCATTAGCCAGGAAAGAGGCCATATGGGGGAGGGGTCCCCACAACCTGGTCTCTGAGCCCCTTTTCCAATTCTCATCTTCACCTTTCTCTGTCAGCTCTGGACTCAGTTTCTTCTGCCTAGGTCACTCTCCACTCACTCCTCTTGGCGAACTCCTGCACATCCTTCAAAACCCACCCCCCCCAACATCCTGCAATTCTCCTCCACCCGGGTCAGCAGATACAGAATGACGTCACCACAGCTGCTGGCTCCCCAGCCCATGGCGGCTTTTGCTAATGGATCATAGGTGGCATCCTTTCCTCAAGATTCTTTACTCAAGGCAGCATAAATCAACGCAGCGGCATTAACCAATCGGGTAACTCAAGAAAGAAACTGTCGTCAGCCCCATCTCCCACCAGGCTGTTACATCCCCTCTGGTCCCTAAGCTCCTTATGATATAAACTCCCATCCTTGACCTGGTCTTTGACCGCTTACTTGCCTGTAATTCGCCTTGTTAGTTGAGGAATGTTTTCTCCCTGGCGTCTAACATCGGCTATTATGGGCTGAACTGAGTTCTAACCCCCAGGACCTCAGAACAGGAATGCATTCAGAGCGAGCGCCTATAAAGAGGTAATTAAGGTAAAATAAGGTCATACAGGTGGGCCCTAACCCTGTATGACTGGTGTCCTTACAGGAAGAGACCGACAAACACATAGGCCGCAGGGTAATTATGTGAGGACACAGTGAGAAGGTGGCCATCTGCAATCCAAAGAGAGGCTTCAGAAGAAACCAAACCTGCTGACACTGACCTTGGACTTCTAGCCTCCTGAACTGTGAGAAAAGATACTGTTGTTTAAGCCACCTGATTGGTGATCTTTTCTTAGGCCAACCCCAGACACACTGGGCCTCGCTGGTGGGAGCTAACCATTATGCAGCCTTTAATTTTTTTTTTAATGTTTATTTATTTTTGAGAGAGAGAGAGAGCACGAGCAGGGGAGAGACAGAGAGAGAGGGAGACACAGAATCGGAAGCAGGCTCCGGGCTCCGAGCTGTCAGCAGAGCCCGACGCGGGGCTGGAACTCACGAGCCGTGAGATCATGACCTGAGCCGAGGTTGGACACTTAACCCACTGAGCCACCCAGGCGCCCCACCATGCATCCTTTAAAAACACTTTCATATAACTGTGAAGGAGCCCTCTGGCTCAGCAGGAGGGCACCCAGGAGAATGGCAAAGGTGACAGCGGCGGGGCTGAGGCAGGTGAACAGGCCCAAGCGTTAACCCGCCCATGTCACCTTGCACAGCAGGCCGGGTGGAGCCCTTGCACAGTAAAGACTGTCCAAGTGGCAAGTGAGGGCACACACCAACCTCAGGAGGCCTAGACCCGGGGAGGGGAAGAACAGAATGACTGCTCCCCGCAGGATGGGAACATTCTTCCTTTTCCCAATAAGGCAATAAGAACCCAGGTCGACAGAAGAAAAAGAGACCACACCAAAATTTGTGTTGTTTTTTTAAGAAGCACAAAATCTAAGCATACAGGCTTCTCCCACCCCCCCACCCCACCCCCAGCCACAACCCACTCCCCCACCAGTCCCAGCTGGCCGAGTCTGTGCTCAAGCAGCCTCCACCTTCCTGTAGGTCAGGCGGTGCTCTGCAGAGCACTGGGCATTCTGGGGCGTGGGGGGGGGGGTGGTTCTAGGAATGGAGGGCCCTGCTGCAGCCCTGACTCCAGCCAGGGAAGCCACCCACGACCTATTTCAAACACTGCTTCCATAAAAGACATCCCTTGGAAAAGAGGTGCTTGGTTTTAAAAAAAGCAAAAACAAAAAAACCTTGAAGACCTCAGAGGCAGCAGATGGAAGGCAGCCCACCCTGGAGGCCTGACTCCTGGCCGACAAGGGGACAACGCAAGGCCTTTAGTAGAAGATGCCCAGGTGGGCCCCCTCCAAATCTTCTTGCCAAAGTTCAGGGCAGCCACTGAGCTGCACGCCTGAGCTCTGGGAAGGGCTCTCATCACCGAGCTGGAAGGCAGGGCCTGGTCCCTGGTCTTCTGAAGCGGGGAGCATCTCTGCGCTGTGGCTCCAGCAACCCCACTCGGTCTGAGGCTGGAGTCTCTGGCATGCTGGGCGGGACAGGAGGGGTGGCGTTTCTGGCAACAGACAAGACTCTGGAGACACAGAGATACCCTGCAAGAGAGACAAAAGCAGCTGGTTAGTGGGCCACTGCGCTGAGATAGCTTGAGACCTTGAACCTGGATGCTCCCTGGAGTGTGGCCGGCAGCTTCTGGACAGCCCTGGTGCCACGGATGCAGTGAAGCCAAGTGGTGAACAGCACTGGCTCTGGAGACACACTGCCCGGGGTTCGAATCCCACCTCTGCTACTAACTAGCTATAAGAACTCGACCTCTTTCATTCTGTTTTCTCATCTGTGAAATGGGGACGATGGTAACAGTTACTCCATGGAGCTGCTGGAGGGCTGACTGAGTAGGTACACGTACACGTACAGTGCCAAGAATGGTGTCGGGCAGTGAGCAAGCAATCATTTTCGCTTATTAACATGCTCTTTCGTGGACCATGATTCATTCATTTGTGGGCCTCAAGAACAAATGAAGCTTGAAGAAAACGGGAAGGTCACCAGCTCCAAGCCCCTCGACTCCGGAAGTCCCTACCCCCGGGGCCAACCACTGGAGCACCTGGAGCGACTTTCTTGCCAGCGGCCCTTGCTACCTTCCATCCTGCCTCTGGAGCAAGTCCGAAGATTCCCCCTCTTCCACGTGGCTGTGGTGGTGGTGGCCTTAATGACCCGGGGCCCTACCTCTTTCCCCAAGGAGGTTAGGGTCCTCTCCATACTCCCTTCGGCTTCTCTCTACCCCCGCCTGGGATGGATTAGATAAACGGGGATCTGAGAAGTATGAAATTCTCTGCAGATGAGAGCCAACTCACCGTCTCCACCCCCAAAAGAACCTGGGGACCATCCCCAGGGGAAGCAGCGGGGCCTGGGTGCGTACCTGGTATATTACAGCCAGCTCAGGGGCCGCGGGGGAAGGCGTCCAGGGTGTAGCCTGATTCCTGGACTCTGGGGACGTCTGCGTTCCTGAACAGCCCTGGGGCGGTGTCCAAAGGGCCGCGTCGGGGCCTCTCCCTCGGGACAGTTGAGGGGGCGACTGCATCCCAGGGTGGTAAGGGGGTGTAACCCAGGGACCCATGTCAGGTATCCTGCTCCCCAGGCGCTCGGGGGCCGCTAGTGCTTCGGGACACGCCGGCGGGGACCCCCAGGACGCGGAGGGGCTGGCGGCTGAGCCCAGCGCCGGGGCGCGCGCCTGCACCTGCGTCTGCGTCTGCGTCTGCGCGGGGCCGCCGTCGGGGCAGAGCGGGCAGCCCCGAG